TTTAGTTATTTCTTGTCTTCTGATAGCTTTTGAGTTTTTTTTTTTTTTTTTTTTTGAGTTGGAGCTTCACTTTTGTTACCCAGGCTGGAGTGCAATGGCACTATCTCGACTCACCGCAACCTCTGCCTCCTGGGTTCAAGCAATTCTCCTGCTTAGCCTCCTGAGTAGCTGGGACTACAGGCGCACTCCACCATGCCCAGCTAATTTTTTGTATTTTTAGTAGAGACGGGGTTTCACCTTGTTGACCAGGATGGTCTCGATCTCTTGACCTCGTGATCCACCCGCCTTGGCCTCCCAAAGTGCTGGAATTATAGGCGTGAGCCACCACGTCTGGCTTTTTTTTTTTTTTTTTTTTTTTTTTAACCTTGCTCCTCTAGCTCTTTGAATTTTGATGATAGGGTGTCGATTTTAGATCTTTTCTTGCTTCTCATGTGGGCATTTATTGTTGTGAATTTCCCTCTAGACACTGCTTTAAATGTGTCCCAGAGATTCTCGTACATTGTGTATTTGTTCTCAATGGTTTTGAAGAACAACTTTATTTCTGCCTTCATTTCATTGTTTATCCAGTCAACATTCAAGAGCCAGTTGTTCAGTTTCTATGAAGTTGCATGGTTCTGTGTTAGTTTCTTAATCCTGAGTTCTAATTTGATCGCACTATGGTCTGAGAGACTGTTTCTTCTGGGCTTGCAGACAGCCACCATCATGTGTTCTCCTATAGCCTTTCCTCTGCATACGGGCATTCCTGGTGTTACCTCCTGTTTTTAGAAGGTCTCCAGTCATAATAGATTAGAGCCCCACCCTTGAACTATTTTAAGTTGAATTATCTCTAAAGGGCCTATCTTCAAATACAGTCAGGCTTGAATATACAATTTTTTTTTTTTTTTTGAGATGGAGTTTTACTCTTGCTGTCCAGACTGGAGTGCAATGGCATGATCCCGGCTTACTGTAGCCTCCTCCTCCACCTGGGTTCAAGGGATTCTCCTCCCTCAGCCTCTCAAGAAGCTGGGATTACAGGCATGTGCCACCACACCTGGCTAATTTTGTATTTTTAGTAGAGACAGGGTTTCACCATATTGGCCAGGTTGGTCCTGAACTCTTGACCTCATGATCCAAGTTGTGATTTTTTTGCCCAGGCTGGAGTGTACTGGCATGATCTCAGCTCACTGCAAGCTTCTCCTCCCGGATTCAAGCTATTCTCTGCATCAGCCTCCCAAGTAGCTAGGATTATGGGCCTGCCACCACGCCACCATGCCTGGCTAAATTTTTTGTATTTTTAGTAGAGATGGGGTTTCACCATCTTGTCCAGGCTGGTCTTGAACTCCTGACCTTTAACAAGATTTATAATTAATCTATAGCTTTATTTTGAATCTATAGATTTGATTTATAATTAGTCTATAGATACTGATCTTCCTAAGATTTATAATTAATCTACAGATTGATTTTAGAGAATGGACATCTTTATGAATTTTGTGTTATCTGTGAACATGTTAGCTCCATTTACTTTTCTATTATTGGTTTTAATATAATTTTATAATTCTAAACTTAAATAGATTATGTAACTTTTATTAAAATCATTTCAAGTTTTTCAGTGGAAATTTAAATTTTAAATTAAATTTTTATGTACTTATGCACAGTAATTGCAGTTGCTATGTTATGGTTTTGCATTCAGCAAAATTACAACTTTTCATGTTCGTTTTGAAGATTTATCTATATATTAATTTGGATTTGCCACATAACATGATATCAGATAGATAGTTATACAGATGGATAGATAGATAGAACTAATCTTTTTTAGTATAAAAATTGTTTTTCTTGTTTAACTGCAGTAGTGTAAAATATTGAATTAAAATGTAAAGTGTTGAATTAAAGTTATCATTAGTATATATCATTGATTTTTTCTCATCTTGATAAGCTCTTACTATTTTAACATAAAGTTTTTTCTTTTGAGTCTTTCCCACGTGTAATTTACTAATAGGATTTTAAGATTTTGAACAACTGTTGAGTTTTTTATTCCTTGAAATGATAGGATTTTTCTCTTTTTACATTTTAATTAGGGGAACTTACTTATTTTCAATTTTAAGCAATAATTTCATTACTATAATGAGTCCAACTTTCTCATATCTTTTTTTAACATGTTACCAGATTTAGTGAGATAATCATATTTAAGTTTAACATTATCTATTTTTGAGTACGATAAACTTCTAATTTGATTTCCATTCCAATAATATATTTTTTCTCTATTATATTAATTATTCAGGTTTTCTTACTTTTACTCTGCCATTTAACTTCTCAAGTTGCATGGGTGTGGGGTGCTCTTCCTTTGCCTAAGAGAGGAGTCTCTGAGGGCTAGACTACTATGAATGCTGCTGCTCCTCTAAATCTAGCCACCCAGTGAAGCCGTCACACTCCAGGCTGGTGCTAGGGAATGTCTGCAAGTGATCAAGTGATGTGACCTGTCCTCTAGTCTCCAGCAGTGGATACCAGCACCAGCTATGGCAGAGGTGGCAGGGCAGCTATATAGACTTTGTGAGATTCCTTGGTTATTAGCCTTAGCGTATTAACTTTCTCAAATGCCAGCTGTACTAGTAATGTTTTGGCACATGAACAAACTCAGGACCTTCTGGTTACCCAAAATGATGCTGGCAATAGTGATAGTTGAGGTCATGCACAAGTTTTTTTCCTTCCTGGTGCTGTGTTATTCTGCCTGCAGATGCTGTTATGGACTACGCCAGTTGGCCTCTAACCATGAGGTGGCACTTGCAAAACAGCTCCAGCTGTAGTGGTAGAAGTGAGTTTTGTGCTTGCCTTATGTTACCCAGGGAAGGTACTCTGTCCTTTCTGTTAAGCTTCCAGAGCAGGTTCAGGGGCAAGGACAGGTGGAGGCTGGGTCAGCCAAGTCTGTGTTCTGGCTCTCCCTATGTAGATGCAAGCAGTGGTCACAATGAGGGTCAGAGAGAAGCTCTCGGGCTGCTGTAGTAATGTTCCAGGGAGAAGTGCAGCTGCCTCTGCTGCACAGAAGAATCTACATGGGGAGTATGTGTATCAGCAGGAAATAAACCTCACCTCCTCCCACATACTTGGCAAGGCAGGTTTCACATTTGCATTGTTTCACTAGCAGCAGGTAACTGGATTCCAGGCACACTCCTCTCAAAACTCAAAACTGCTCCAGGTCATAAGCCTTCCCCACTGATATGGTTTGGATCTGTGTCCCTGCCCAAATCTTATGTCAAATTGTAATCCCCAGTGTTAGAAGTGGGGCCTGGTTGGAGAGGACTGGATCGTGGGGTAGAGTATTTATGAATGATTTAGCACCATCCTCCCTTGGTACTGTTCTTGTGATAGTGGTGAGGTATCATGAGATCTGGGGTTTTTTTTTTTTGTTTTTTTTTTTTTTTGTGAGACAGAGTCTTGTTCTGTAGCCAGGCTGGAGTGCAGTGGTATGATCTCGGCTCACTGCAACCTCCACCTCCCAGGTTCAAGCAATTCCCCTGATTCAGCCTCCTGAAGTAGCTGGGACTACAGGTGCATGCCGCCAAACCCGCATAATTTTTTTGTATTTTAGTAGAGACAGGGTTTCACCATATTGGTCAGGATGGTCTCCATTTCCTGATCTCGTGATCCACTTGCCTCAGCCTCCCAAAGTGCTAGGATGGCAGGTGTGAGCCACTGCGCTGGCCTTGAGATCTGTTTTTTTTAAAGCGTATAGTCCTTTTCCCCTCACTCTCTCTCTTGCTGCAGCTCCTATCGTGCAAAACAATCTGCTGCCCCCTTGCCTTCTGCCATAATTAGAAGCTTTCTGAGGCTTCTCCAGAAGCAAAAGATACTATGCTTCCTGTATAGCCTGTGGGACCATGAGCCAATTAAACCTCTTATTTAAAATATGTTATTCAGTTTCAAGTATTTCTTCATAGGAATGAGAGAACAGCCTAACACATCCACTGAGATGGAAAGTGCGGCTTTCAGGCCATGCTCCTCTGAAGCTGGGGTGTTCATCTCCTGTGCCTGTGGCTATAGCACACCTCCTATTCAAAGGGGGTTTGTCCCCACTCAAGATTTTATTGTTATTCTCAGTTTATTTACTGGGAGCTTCTCTCAACCTGTGACCACACCTGAGTTAGCTGGCAGACTTCTGCAAGGCCCCTTGTGACACAGGATTAGGAGTGACTTCCCTCTGTCCCTGCTGAGTCTGGGAGTGCACACAAACCATGTCCAGATGCTGCTCTTTCTCATCTATTTCCCACTGTTTAAAGCAGCACCAGTACTGGGCAGGGTTAAGGCATTTCCCCATGGTCTGGATTTCCAGGTTTCCCAGTAGAAGTATATATCCCAGAGGCAGTTAATCTCCACCCACACTCTGGAAACTCATAGTTTTTCGCCTGGTTCACATGATCGGTTGCTCCCCACCACTTTTTTCAAAGGGTTTATAGTTACTTTTGTTCTTTCTGTAAAGTTCCTGTGTTGCTTCTTGTAAAAAAAATTCACAGTATGAATCTCTACTCACTATATTGTCTTTTCAAGTGGGAGAGGCATGCTAACAATGCCTCCAAATCTGCTGTCTTTAAATTATCTGCCATTCAATTGGAGAGAGAAAATGAATGTTAGCTGTAGTTTAATTTTGATGGATTTATTATAGTGAAATGACACACATTACTTCTTTTTCACTAACTAAAATTTTTCTCTCCTTCATTCCTTTCCCAGGTTCCATTCTACTCTCTCTTTTCTTCCCTTTCTCCTTCTTACCTTCTCTCTCTTTCTTTCTATCTCTTTCTTCCTTTATTCTCCCTTTTCCTTGATTTCCTCCCTCCCTCCTCCCTTCCTTTCTTCTCTCCTTCCATCCTTCCTGTTTAATTTCTCCTTCCTCTTAATATGTAGATATGATGTATTCTAGAAAACCTAATTGATTTTTTTCTTAATAGCTTGTCAGGAAATTACTGATACTTTTTTTCCTCAGCAAACACATATGCTAATTTCCCCCATTCAACTTTTTTTATTTTCTCCAGGAAAACCCACTACATTATGTGAGACTATGGGGAAAGCTGAAATTTGGTTAATCAGAACATATTGGGATTTTGAATTTCCTCGTCCATACTTACCTAATTTTGAGTTCGTTGGAGGATTGCACTGCAAACCTGCCAAACCTTTACCTAAGGTAGGTCCACAACAGTGGAGGATTTTATGTTCCTTATAATAAAATACCTAATTTTCTTTTAAAGTTTATAGCCTCAATAACAAATAAATGCTGCTGGACATTTCAGTTTGCTACTCCACGTCTATTTTCCTCATGATAGATTTCTCCTACAGGTGATATTAGGTGTTTTGGAATTTGTATTGACAATTTGAACTGAAGAGTAAAATCATTCTAGTTGTGTCTTACAGATAGCAGTGTCTCTATACCTTGATACTGGATCTGGAGGGACAGAAAACCAGATCATAGAAATTACTAGGGAGACTGCCATAGTCTTCTTAACAAGCCACATAGCATTTTGAACAGGGACATTTACCAAATTTCTTGACAGATAAAGATGTTTTCATGAAAACTCTTGAGTGAATTCCATAGAATTTGGTGAGTAAGAAGTCTGCACAATCTGCATGTGTACCCCAGAACATAAAGTATAATAAATAAAATTTAAAAAATAAATAAAAAATAACAATAAATTTAAGTTATTTAATAATAAAAAGAGGTCATTATTGAAGGAAGACAATGAAATGAGGCAGAGCTCTTAAGTTTTAATCTTGAGAATTTATTGGATAGTTGTGACGTCTACTGTTAGGAAACAATTGGTGAAAAAACTCTTTTGCGTTGACAATGGTGATTGTAGTTTTTGACCTGTTTATTTTAAGGAACCAAAGAGATTTTCATTAATTTCTAGAAATCCTTTAGGTAGTACAAAGTGTAAATCCCAGCATAACACACTGGAAATAGATTCAGATTCATCGGCATAAATTAGATATTATAAAACTGAGATACTCAAATATTGTATTGGTTCTTTATAAATATGGTGTCAGGTTTTTATGACATGAAAAAGAAATTGTATGCCATAACATGAAGTCTTCAGAGAGGAAATATGGAATATCAGAAATGTTATACAGAAAAAGTGTTGAGAAGCAAAATAGAATATAGGTAAACGTGGTAGGAACAATGTATTTAACTATCGATAGGGAGTGAGGAAACAGGTTATTATTTATTTGATGTACACACAAACAAACATAATCTTTTCAGAAAGTTGCAGATTCCCAGAACAGTACTAAATTTCTGTTTATGGCAAAATACATATTTAAGTTTAAGCTTTTATTTTAGGATTCTGAAAATTTTATTTCAGTGTTTTCTTACCTGTCAAGTTAGGCTGCAGGCAAGCTCTAGTGAATGTTCCTCATAGGAGATAATGTATCAATATATAAATAAAGAAAGAAATACACATGACATGTCCATAGATCACTGGATAACAGCCCATGCCACACTATCATATTTTTCCTCCCAAAACCACTTTTTACACAAACACACACACACACACTCACAATTTCACAAAGACAAATCAGCCATATTTTACAACAGCAAACATTCCTCCATTACATATTCAATCAACTTAAATAATGATATAGACTTTGGGAAATATAAATACTAATCTTGGATTATATTGCTGATGAAATAATTATGCCCATCATTGGGTACACAGAATACAAAAGCAACAAGAGACTGTCATATGAAAAATCCATTTTAGTATGGTAAGTGTGTATATTTGTGTGTGTGTGTATGTTTGCATGTTATTTTAATGAAAAAATATCTGTTTGGGAGATGAATCAAAATGGCAAAGCATCAATTCCTGGGACCTCAGAAATATACTACCGACATTAAGCCAAAAATAGAAGTCTATTTTCACTTAAGATATCACCCTCCCCTAATAATTTTGCTAGTCATAAACTAGCAAATGTAAACCCAGTAATGAGCCAGGAAATTTTACTGGCAGAGAAATTTATATTTCACTTTTTCTTTAAGGCTCAAATTAAGGGCACATAGCTAACATCACATCTATGGCAGTTTATACATCAGAAAGACAGAGATGCACTGTCTCATAAGCACAATTGTGATTATAGTTGGAGATACACTTTATCGTCTTCTAAAATACGTTACTATTAGATGACATTTTAAACAAATTTCTTCTCAGATAAGGGAAGGCATAAACTTTAGAAAATAATCTTGAATGCTTAACAGGAACCAGTAAATTTATTAATAATCTGTTAGATATGACTGGCATGCTAATAATTTTTAAAGCTTTACTCAGGATCCTTTATTGGGCTTCCTTCCAAAAAATGTTCCTATGAGTTTGCAAACAACCCTATTGGTTGGTTAAATTAAGCCTTGGGAGTAACAATTTCAGTTACCATGAGAAGATGTGTCCCTTATTTAGTGTTCATTTCTGTAATGGTTTTGGTTCTATGGTTGGACTTGTAACCATTGATTATACATTTAAGTTACACATTTCAGAAACATGTTTTCTCTTAAGGAGAATAGACCTGACTGGGCACAGTGGCTCATGCCTGTGATTCCAGCACTTTGGAAGACGGAGGCAGGTGGATCACTGAAGTCCCAGAATATGAGACCAGCCTGGCCAACATGTTGAAACCCCATTTCTACAAAAACGACAAAACTTAGCTGGGCATGGTGGCATGCGCCTATAGTCCCAGCTACTGAGGAGACTGAGGTGTGAGAATCACTTGAACTGGGGAGGTGAGATTGCAGTGAGCAGAGATACATGCCACTGCACTCCAGCCTGGGTGACAGAGTAAAACTCTGTTCGAAAAAAAATAATAATAAAATAGATACTAGATCTTTCTACATGTCAGAAGACAGTCTAGTCTAACGATTTCTCTGACATCTCTCCTAATTTTACCTACTTCAATGGGTAAGTAAACTTATTTTTTCCTATGATGCCATATCTTTGTAATTGAAAATATGTTATGTATGTAGGAAATGGAAGAATTTATCCAGAGCTCAGGTAAAAATGGCGTTGTGGTGTTTTCTCTGGGATCAATGGTCAAAAACCTTACAGAAGAAAAGGCCAATCTTATTGCCTCAGCCCTTGCTCAGATTCCACAGAAGGTCAGTACAGCCTCGGATTCTCGTACCCAATTTTTACTAATGGGAGAGACAGTGCGGCTAGTAACGCTCTTTCCATATGAAAGTTGAAACTCATTATACACTGAGTATCACTAGTAATAGTTGTGAGTAAAATTGTGTAGAACATTAAAACTGTGTATATTACCAATCATTTGCCTACTGAAGCTCAGCATTATTTTTAAAACAGATGCTTTTATGAAGTCATTTCATTTTAACGCAATAGAAATGAAAAATTTAAGCCTCCACTGACCTTTTTCTGTTTGAATTTTTTTTTTTGTTCTCCACTGACTATTTTCAAAAGTTCTAAAGTATGTTAGCTCCATAGCCCAGGAAGAGCGAGAGTGTATACACAAAGCAGGGAGAAATTATGCTAAAAATTAATTCAAGTGCCTAGGGTTTATTACAACGCGATCAAAGTGCACTTGGTTTAGAAGTAGAAGCCTAGATTCACTTAGTCTTTCTAGGTTGAATATTCTCTAGCTAAAAATGATTAAAATTCAAATATTATAGTCCAACAACATGCATTTTCTGATTTATGTAATTCAATTAACCTTAATTTTTATCTACACATTTCTGCATTTGTATTCTTTTTATACTCTTGTTCATGAAACTTTCTAGGACTCTTTATATTTACGTATTGGTTAAAACACATAACAGTTTTCATGATTTTTCATCTCCATGTTGTGATTGGTTAAACTGGTCCTGTTTATGTCCTATTTCTTCACTTAAAATCTCACTCCCAAAAGCTTTGAAGTGATAAATATCAAAACAATAATACTATACTTAATAGACTATTAATACAAGACTTTACAAAAAGGTAGATATAAATAGTCCTACTATATATCTCAACATTTGTAAACTACTGCTTATGTAATTCCCAACTTCCAAGTAGCTAGCTAAATGATTTCTAAATATTCTACCAGCTTAAAATGTCCTCATTGCGTTTTTCCTTGCAAAATTAAAGCACAATTTTCCACAGGTTTTATGGAGATACAAAGGACAGAAACCAGCTACATTAGGAAACAATACTCAACTCTATGATTGGATACCCCAGAATGATCTTCTTGGTAAGACTGTGGGGATGGAAAAGCTGTACAGCGGGACAATAGACAAGTATATTTTTAGTAGCGAATAAATTTAACAAGTTTTTAATAATTTAAAATTGTATTTGATACCCAATTTCAAATCAGATATAATTAAATAATTGGTTATTAATTTTAATAGATTCATGCTTCCTCTGGTTCACAAAAAGGCATTTTCGGTTAAGATTCATCACACTTCAAGTTTGATTTTCAGTTCAGATATCTTCTTAGCAATATATTCCCACAAAGCACAAGGACTATTAATTACTGCTTTTCCTGAGATGACAGTTTTCTGAGATAGCAATGCCCTATTTTCTCTGCTTTTGTAGAAGACGGAACCTTCTTTAATGTGTTATATTGGAGCTTTTTGACCCCTTCTGTCTCTAAAATTCTGCTAATGTGTTATAATTACACACCCACTTTTCACTCCACCATCAAATTAGGTCATCCCAAAACCAAAGCTTTTATCACTCATGGTGGAACTAATGGGATCTATGAAGCTATTTACCATGGAGTCCCTATGGTGGGAGTTCCCATGTTTGCTGATCAGCCTGATAACATTGCTCACATGAAGGCCAAAGGAGCAGCTGTGGAAGTGAACCTAAACACAATGACAAGTGTGGATTTGCTTATTGCTTTGAGAACAGTCATTAATGAACCTTCGTAAGTACTGAGGCCCTTAAAGATTTATCTTACATTAATTATGTTATATTTAATACCAGAAAATATTCATTCTTTCATACTTTCGTAATTATTTTTAAATAACAACTATAACCTGATCAATAGAAAATCCGTTTCGTTTGCCAAACTGCTGAAGTCATTTGCTGAAATCGTAAAAAGAAGAAAAACCTAAGACTTCAAATATTCTTTCAATATTTTTTCACAATAAAGAATGCTATGATTATATGAATTCTCATTTGTTGTCTGAATAATTTGCTTATTCTTATAAACTAATAAGTATTTACATATTATAAACTAATTAGTAAGTACAAAATTGAAATGATAATATGCCCAGTAAAAATCATTTAGAAATAACTATTAACACTGAGTATATACCATTCCATACCATTCTATACCAGTATATAATTTATATATATATGTATATGTATAGCTTAGTATATGGTGTGTGTATGTATATGTTTATATATATGTGTGTATATATATATGTGTGTACATGTATATATACATATACTTGCATCTTATTTTTCATGTACATATATACACACAAGCTTATGTACACACACACACACACACATACTTATGTCTTATATTTTTCTCTGAAAGATCTCATCAAAGGTAGGAAATAATATGATATATGTATGTGTAATTTTCAGTCTTTATTTTTGATGATGTGTTTTAATTTTAGCCACTTATAGTTGAACTCCTGCTTTGAAAGTTATCTTATTCCAAATTTTTATGACTTACATTTTAATTTTACTTTACCAATATTTATGTCATTTATTTTTCTCATATTTATTTAGTCTTTTTCCTATATTTTAAGGGACTGAGTGTTCACCATTGAATTAGAGATAATTTGTTCCAAATATTTATGATTTATTTATTGACCAATTATCTCACATGGAATTTTCTTTCAATAAAGTCTTGGATATTGAATTCTCTGAAATAATGTTTAGAAATATTTGCATATTGCTTTGTTATAAGAATCACTTTTGTCTGAATATAATATATTTAGCTCTCTCTTTTTTTCTTCAGACCTGTGGAAATATTATTCATGACCTTCTAGTTTAAATGATGCTATAGGATTTATGAGTCCTGTCTGACCATTTTATCTTTTTGTTTTCTTTTCAGCTTGGAAAAATAAATTTTTACTTTTTAAAATTCGGAAACCCAATTATGGTGTATTCTTTCAAATTATTTTGTATGTTTTCCTTCAATTATACTGTGTCCTTACAACACTGTTAATCTAGGGAAAAAATTATCCAGTTTTTCTTTTCGTAAATTAATTTTCTGTGTATTATTTCTTAGAATGCCTTTTATTTCCATTTTTTATCTTTACTTCAGGAGCACCAGTTTAGTCTTCCCTCTGATAAAATATTCTTTTATGTTTTCCTCTACTATTTTCTGTCTAATTGTTCAAATCAATTTTTACTATTCTTAGTTCATTGAGATTGTCTCAAATAGTTCACAAATTAGCAAATGTATTATTTTTACCATGAACATTTCTTGCTGTTTCTAATTTCTTTGTTAATTCTTTAAGCTGTCATTTTTAACAACTTATTTCATCAGCTCACCTATTTCCTTATCACTGCCTCTTGCTTTATAATTCAATTTTGATATAATATTAACTACCCTCCCACTATTACAATACTTTGAATCTCTTCATCTTTGGCTATATATCATGCCTGGTTGCATTCTTAGTTCTCATTTATTTTTCAATATGTCAGTGGTTATCAAGCTGTTTTTGTATCTTGGTCTTGGTGTTTGCTTTTAAATTCGTTTCTATGCTATATTGGACTCAATTGTTTTTTATGCACAGTCAAAGCTTGAAGGATAGATGTAATAGTCCATTCACTTTTCCTGAAGGCTGAGATTCAGGAAGTAGAGGAGAAAATTAACTCAGATAGAATTTGGTGCTTTTTTTTTTTAAAAAAAATAATACTTTAAGTTCTGGGGTACATGTGCAGATCATGCAGGATTGTTACATAGGTATACACATGCCATGGTGGTTTGCTGTGTCCATCCCCCTTCATCTACCTTAGGTATTTATCCTAATGTTATCCCTCCCCAGTGCTCACACCCCCTGCTAAACCTCCTCTAGCTCTCCCACCCTGCAACAGGCCCCGGTGTATGATGTTCCCCTCCCTGTGTCCATGTGTTCTCATTGTTCAACACCCACTTATGAGTGAGAAGGTGCAGTGGTTGGTTTTCTGTTCTTGTGTCAGTCTGCTGAGACTGATCGTTTCCGCCTTCATCCATGTCCCTGCAAAAGACATGAACTCATCTTTTTTTATGGCTGCATAGTATTCCATGGTGTATATGTGCCACATTTTCTTTATCCAGTCTAGCATTGATGGGCATTTGGGCTGGTTCCAAGTCTTTGCTATTGTAAACAGTGCCACAGTGAACATACATGTGCATGTGTCTTTATAATAGAATGATTTATCATCCTTTGGGTATGTACCCAGTAATGGGATTGCTGGGCCAAGTGGTATTTCTAGTTCTAGATCCTTGAGGAATCACCACACTGTCTTCCACAATTATTGTACCAATTTACACTCCCACCAACAGTGTGAAAGTGTTCCTATTTCTCCACATCTTCTCCAGCATCTGTTGTATCCAGGTTTTTAAATGATTGCCATTCAAACTGGCATGAGATGGTATCTCAATGTGGCTTTGATTGCATTTCTCCAATGATCAGTGACGATGAGATTTTTTTCATGTGTTTGTTGGCTGCATAAATATCTTCTTTTGAAAAATGTCTATTCATACCCTTCACCCACTTTTTGATGGGGTTGTTTTTTTCTTGTAAATTTGTTTAATTCCTTTGTCGATTCTGGTGTTGAGGCCTTTGTCAGATGGGTAGATTGCAAAAATTTTTTCCCATTCTGATGGTTGCCGGTTCACTCTAATGATAGTTTCTTTTGCTGTGCAGAAGCTCTTTAGTTTAATTAGATTTCACTTGTGAATTTTGGCTTTTGTTGCCATTTCTTTTGGTGTTTTAGTCATGATGGCCTTGCCTATTGCTATGCCCTGAATGGTATTGTCTAGGTTTTCTTCTAGGGTTTTCATGGTGTTAGGTCTTATGTTTAAATCTTTAATTCATCTGAAGTTAATTTTTGTATAAGGTGTAAGGAATGGGTTCAGTTTCATCTTGCTGCACATGGCTAGCCAGTTACCCCAACACCATTTATTAAACAGGGAATCCTTTCCCCGTTGCTTGTTTTTGTCTGGTTTTTCAAAGATCATAGTGTTGTAGATGTGTGGTGTTACTTCTGGTGCCTCTGTTCTGTTCCAATGGTCTATATCTCTATTTTGGTATCAATACTATGCTGTTTTGATTACTGTAGCTTTGTAGTATGGTTTGAAGTCAGGTAGCATGGTGCCTCCAGCTTTTTATTTTTTATTTTATTTATTTATTTATTTTGCTTAGGGTGGCTTGGCTATGTGGGCTCTTTTTTGGTTCTATATGAAGTTTAAGGTGGGTTTTTCCAGTTCTGTAAAGAAGGTCAATGGTAGCTGGATGGGGATAGCACTGAATCTATAAATTACTTTGGGCAGCATGGCCATTTTCACAGTATTGTATCTTCCTAAACAGAAGCCTAGAAAGAGTTTTCGTCTGTTTGTGTCCTCTCATTTCCTTGAGCAGTGGTTTATAGTTCTCTTTGAAGAGATCCTTCACATCCCTTGTTGGTTGTATTCCTAGGTATTTTATTCTCTTTGTAGCAATTGTGAATGGGAGTTTGTTCATGATTTGGCTCTCTGTTTATCTGTTATTGGTGTATAGTAATGCTTGTGATTTTTGCACATTGATTTTGTATCCTGAGACTTTGCTGAAGCTACTTATCAGCTTAAGGAGATTTGGGGCTGAGACAATGGGGTCTCCTAAATATACAATCATGTCATCTGGAAATAGAGACAATTTGATATCCTCCTTTCTTTATTGAATATATTTTATTTCTTTTTGTTGCCTGATTGCTCTGGATAGAACTTCCAATACTATGTTGAATAGGAATGGTGAAAGAGGGCACCCTTGTCTAGTGCCAGTTTTCAAAGGGAATGCTTCAAGTTTTTGCACATTCAGTATTATATTGGCTGTGGGTTTGTCATAAATAGCTTTCATTAATTTGAGATATGTCCCATCAATGCCTAGTTTATTGAGAGTTTTTAGCATAAATGACTGTTGAATTTTGTTGAAGGCCTTCTCTGCATCTATTGAGATAATCATGTGGTTTTTGTCTTTGGTTCTGTTTATGTAATGGATTACATTTATAGATTTGTGTGTGTTGAACCAGCCTGGCTTCCCTGGGATGAAGTCAACTTGATCATGATGAATAAGCTTTTTAATATTCTGTTGCAATTGGTTTGCCAGTATTTTATTGAAGATTTTTGCATCAATGTTCATCATGGATATTGGTCTAAAATTTTCCTTTTTAGTTGTGTCTCTGCCAGGTTTTGGTATCAGAATGATGTTGGTCTCACAAAATGAGTTAGGGGGGATTCCCTCTTTTTGGATTGTTTGAAATAGTTTCAGAAGCAATGGTACCAGCTCCTCTTTGTATATCTGGTAGAATTGGCTGTGAACCCAACTGGTCATGGACTTTTTTTTAGTTGGTAGGCTATTAATTGCTGCCTCAACTTCAGATCTTGTTATTGATGTATTCAGGGATTCAATTCCTTCCTGGTTTAGTCTTGGGAGGGTGTAAGTGTCCAGGAATTTATTCATTTCTTCTAGATTTACTGATTTATGTGCATAGAGTTGTTTGTAGTAATCTCTGATGGTAGTTTGTATTTCTGTGGAATCGGTGGTGATATCCCCTTTATCATTTTTTATTGCATCTATTTGATTCTTCTCTCTTTTCCTTTTTAATAATCTGGCTAGCGGTCTATCTATTTTGTTGTCTTTTCAAAAAACCATCTCCTGGACTTACTGATTTTTTTGAAGGGATTTTTAAGTTCTATCTCCTTCAGTTCTGTTCTGATCTTAATTATTTCTTGTCTTCTGCTATTTTTTGAATTTGTTTGAACTTGATCTTCTAGTTCTTTTAATTGTAACATTAGGTTGTCAATTTTTTATCTTTCCTAGCTTCTCATGTGGACATTTAGTGCTACAAGATTCCCTCTAGACACTGCTTTAAATGCGTCCTGCAGATTCTGGTACATTGTGTCTTCATTCTCTTTGGTTTTGAAGAACATCTTTATTTCTGCTTTCATTTCGTGATTTATCCAGTAGTCATTCAGAAGCAGGTTGTTCAGTTTCCATGTAGTTGTGAGGTCTTTGATTGCACTGTGGTCTGAGAGACTGGTTGTTATGATTTACATTCTTTTGCATTTGCAGGAAGTGATTTACTTCCAATGATGTGGTCAATTTTAGAGTAAATGTGATGTGGTGCTGAGAAGAATGTATATTCTGTGGCTTTGTGGTGGAGAGTTCTGTAGATGTCTATTAGGTCCACTTGGTCCAGATCTGAGTTCAAGTCCTAGATATTCTGGTTAATTTTCTGTCTTGTTGATCTGGTTAATAATGACAGTGGGGTGTTTAAGTTTCCCACTATTATTGTGTGTGAGTCTAAGTCTCTTTGTAGGTCATTAAGCACTTGCTTTATGTATTTTGGTGCTCCTGTATTGGTTGCATATATATTTAGGATAGTTAGCTCTTCTTGTTGCATTAATCCCTTTTCCATTATGTAATGCCCTTCTTTAGTGCTTTTTCTAAATGGAACTAACCTGCTTAAAAACATCTATTCAGTGCCCTTTGTCACGTGTTTTAGAAACAGAGGCCAGTATTATTTCAAAAAGGAGAGTCACTAAACACTTTGTTTAGATTCATACCAAAACTGAGCCCTTGTTTTTGACTTTATCATCCCATCCACATTCCAATTAATTGACTTTTATTAATACATACATGTTGTATAAGTCATAATTCTAGAAATCATAATTCGGGAGCTAATTGGTGACTTAGAAGCTTCAGCAAGGCTCATTATGCTGTTTTCTTTGACTTTAATGTCTAGTCAATTAGACTATTATAAAGTTGTTAGTTGCTGACAATTTGGTTTATTTTGTTAATTATCAGAGTAGGTAAGGTCTGTGATTCTCTTTAACTCTAGTGCTTAAAATGATCAATAAATTTTATTATTGACTCAAAAACCATAAACTAAAAATAAAATTCTAAGCCCTCCATCTAGCCATCTGAATGGAATTCCTTCTAACTCAGGGTTCTTTGAAGATTTAACCTGAGAGACTGTTTCAGGCGATGATGAGAAGTGAGGGTCAAACATGCCTCATTATACCTCACTGGCATTAGCATCAACACAGACTTTAAGTCTGATAAGAAACATTTCACAGTCTATTCTCTCTGAAGCCTACTACCTGAATGCTTCCTCTGCAAATAAGGACTTGGATCTCTACAGTCCTTGATCCCAGGCATGCCTTCCATTTGATCCTAGGTCTTTAGACAAATTTAACCCATTGTCAACCAGAAAATCTTTAAATTTACATATAACCTGAATGTACCCCCACTTCAAGTTGTCCCACCTTTCTTAACCAAACCAATGTATTTCTTAAATGTATTTGATTAATGTCTTATGCCTTCCTAAAATGTGTAAAACCAAGCTGCACCCCAACCACTGTGGGCACATGTACTCTGGACCCCCTGAGGGCTGTGTCATGGGCCATATTCACTCATATTTTGCTCCAATTAAATATCTTCAAATATTTTAGATGTTGACTCATTTCATTGACAATACTATTGATGCAAAAAACAGAACTATAAATAGTGTTAGAAATTTCTAAATAAATGCCTAAAAATTATTTAATTTAAAATACCTTCACTTTAACCCTAAACCCAATACCAACTCTGGTAACACAGAGTATAGTGTAGAGCACATACATGGATGTATTTGTATTCCATTCTGTTATTTATTAAAGCAACTAATAAACATTAAAAATTACATTTGAATATACCATAGTAAATTTTCATTATTCAGAATATTTTATCATATCCATCATAAAACATTAGTGTAAAATAAAACATTAAATAATGAATTTATGAGCATGGTCCTTGTCCTACATCATTTATAGGAAAACATACCTTTTTCTTATTATATTTTTTTATTTATATGTACAAATTTATTTATTTGCTTCAAATGTAGGCATGCCTCAAATATAGGATGATCCATGTGAAATTACTATCTTGGCCCTACCCTACCTATTGCTATTGTGACAGCAAGTTGATTAGGAGCTCTAATTCTAGGGAAATGTTTTAATTTACCTTAAAAACTCAAAGTTCACATGCCGCTTCTTAAATCACCGGAGTTTTTTGGTTCAGTCTTCATGTTACAGAGAGACACTGTTCTCTTCATCACAAACATACAAATGTGTGCCAAGGAGTAATTATCACAGTGCCAACATCTCAGAACTGTAAAGTAACTCACTAATGTCAATTTCCTTTGTCTGTCATATGAACCAGCTGGACATTAGAGAATATGTTTATGTATGTCTAAAATGATTTTTATCCCACATTAGATTATATACCATCTTAGTCTTGAAACTGTCCTGGATAATATAGTTCACACAGTATCAAAATTATTTTTAGAAAAATTATGCTAAACAAATATATTTATAACTGGCTTTATCTATTTTTTTATGTCTACATTTGACCATCCTGTGTTAAGAATATATTTCATCCACATCCTTCCTTTTGTAACTCCTAAAATTTTGTGCAACTAGAAAAGTTCATGCAAGAATTACATTATTTCTTAACATAACTGTGGACTTCAACTTGTATAGAAAATATGTATCACATATTTATCTTCAATGAAAATAAAAACAAAAATTATCTCATTTCTGCCTATTTATTTGTCTTCTAGCTATAAAGAGAATGCTATGAGGTTATCAAGAATTCACCATGATCAACCTGTAAAGCCCCTGGATCGCGCAGTCTTCTGGATCGAGTTTGTCATGCGCCACAAAGGAGCCAAGCACCTGCGGCCAGCGGCCCACAACCTCACCTGGTTCCAGTACCACTCTTTGGATGTTATTGGGTTCTTGCTGGTCTGTGTGACAACAGCTATATTTTTGGTCATACAGTGTTGTTTTTTTTTCTTTCAAAAATTTGGTAAGATAGGAAAGAAGGTAAAAAGAGAATAGATCAAGAAGAAAAGGAAATATATGTTTTTAAGCTTGGCAAAATCCTGAATGGTACAATATTATTAATTCCAGCCAAAAGGAGCTTAACAAAAACACATATTCCATCATGTTTCCAAATTTTCTATTCCTCTACCTGCCTTAAGCCTACTGATATGATAAAACCTAGATTTCAAAGTGATTATTATTAACTTGTGAGTTATAGTCTTCTATTTTTCCTTAGTCTTTCCCAGCTGACTGTACCCTTTTCCTTTCACTTTTCTGACCCAAGAATACTACCTAATTCTAAATATGTTATATTCACAGTATCAAATTATTTTATAGTTAACCTTAACTGGTGACTAACAATATGCTGAATCCTGGGTAATGCATACAGTGTAGATGGAATTTGATAGGTATAAGAAAGAGTCAAATTCACAAGTTTCCATATACCAAACAAATCAGGGAGAATAGGAGAATAGTGTGTTACAAGAAAGGTAATGATTTCCTTTTTTTAATAAAAATAAACTTTTCTGTTTGCCCAATGTTGCAGGAGTTGGAGAATGAATTTAACTGTGATGTGCATCTTATTAATGTCTACATAATTTTCATTGAGTATATCTATATAATCATGGTATAATTTGCCTGGCTTTCTTCAGCATATATTATTATAGAACCTGTAGTGGAAGATTTGGCTACTGTCTTTAGTAAATAAACCAATCAACATTTTTTATTTCAAAGAGAAAGTTCTATGATATATGTTAAAGGCGAACAGATCATATTTAGAGGATACAACAATGAGAAATAAAGAAAATAACCAGTAATTTTATAAAATTTTTAATTAATGGTACAAATGATTACATTAAACATCAATTAATTATGCTTTAAAATTACTAATGTTCATAATACATAATCACTTTTTGTAATCAAAGTTTAATTTTATGCCAAAAAATAAAAACCATGCTTACTTGAATTTTGAGATAATTGTATTATTTTTGTCTTTATCTTCTACAAATTTAAATTTATCAATTGTTACGTGAGACCTTGACCAAGGATATGGCATAATAAATATTTATCAATGCAAAGCACTCATTGAAGGCAAATATTTATACTTGATTCAGCTTTATATTAATTTAATAAGTATATTAAAAATTTTGCTTTCTTTACCCTTTATAAATTTAATGACATTTCTAAAGTGTTAATTTCAATATTTGAAACTGAGAAGAAATTACATTTGTTGCCTTAGTAAAATTTTTGAAATTCTTCTTTCTTTTATAAATTTTACATTATTTTAAGTTCCAGGATATATTTGCAGGTTTGTTACATAAGTAAATCTATGCCATCATGGTTTACTGCACGTATCAGCTCATCACCTTGGTATTAAGCCTAGCATGCATTAGGTACAGGCATATAGCTAGGAATATGCTCAATGTGAATAGTTCATAAAATCTAGAAATATAGCCAAACATAGAGTCAACAGATATTTAACAAGAATGACAAAACTATACAAGGGAGAAAAAACAGTCTCTTTAACAAATGCCAGTGGGCAACCTGATTATCAATATTCAAATGAATAAAATCAAACCCCTCACCTCAAGTCATATACAAAAATGGACTCAAAATAGATAAAAAGCCTAAATGTAAGAGCAGGAATATAAAACTCAGCAGGAAGAATATGTGTATATCTTTCTAATCCTGAATTTGACAAGGTTTTTATATATGACACCAAAAATGGAAGCAACCACATTGAAGTTGATGAATTGAACTTCACTGAAATTTAAATTTTTGCACATCAAAGAACACCATCATTAACATCGGAAGAGAAACCAGACTTTGGATTATATAGTTGCAAATTACATACATGGTAAGTAACTTGTATAAGAAATTTATAAAAAGAAATCCTACAGCTCAATGATGACAAATAACCCAATCCAAAAATGTGCAAAAGATCTGAACAGGTATTTTTCTAAGAAATATGTAAATGTTCATAAGGACAAATGAACAAATGTAAATGTCCAATAAGAACAAATGAAAAACTGCTCTGCATCATTAGGTTCAACATTATTATATAAAAATGTTAGTAAAAACCACAGTGAGATACCACTTCACCCTCACTAACCTGACTATTATCAAAAAGACAAATAATAAAAAGTGTTGGCGAGGATGTAGAAAAATTGGAATCTTCATACTTTGCTTGGATGAATAAAAAATTACTCAGGCCCTTTGAAACAATTTGCCAGCTTATCAAAGGTTAAACATAGAGTTACAATATAATCCAGCAACTCCACCTCTAGTAATATACCCAAGAGAAATGACCTAGGACTATACAAAATTAATGCATGAATGTTGATAAACAACCTCTTAACCAAAATTGGAAGAAAAACTACAGTCTATCACTGATGAATGAATAAAAATGTATGATATATCAATACTGTAGAATATTATTTGGCAATAAAACTAAAAAAGTCCTGATGCATGCTATACCATTAATTAAACTTTTAAAGCGTTATGCTAAGTATAGATTACAAACAACAAAGATCAATATGTGATGCCCTTAATAGGCAAATTGATAGAAATAGAAAGTATGTTAGTGTTTGCCTAAAATGAAGGATAAGGAATTGCTAAGGGTATGGTGTTTTTTTTTTTTTGGAGGGGGTGGGTGATAAAATATATTCATTCTTGTTCTAGTTTTTGCAAAATTCTGTAAATATATAATGAACCATCATATTGTATATTAAAAAAATTTTTTGAAGACAAGGTTTCACTTGTCACCCAGGCTGGAGTCCAATATTGCAATCTCCACTCAGTGCAGCCTCAACCTCCTGGGTTCATGGCATCTTCTCACCTCAGCCTTCCAAGTAGCTGGGACTGCAGGTGCAAACCACCACAGCCAGCTAATTTTTCTTTTTGTTCTTCCTTTTTCTTTTTTTCGTTTTTAGAGACAAGGATCCTCTGTGTTATCATCCATGTTGATATCAATCTCCTAGGCTTAAGTGATCCTCCTTCTTGACTTTCACAAAGTAATGGGACTACAGACAAAAGCATTTCACCCAGCCATTGAGTTGTACACTTTAAATTGATAAATATATAATATGTGATTTGTATGTGTACAAATTTTTTATACACGAAAGTATCTTGAACCATGACACCTAAGAAATGGTGATTCAGCTGTATAGTTACTTTATTTCCAGTTTTGTGATTTCACCATTGTACTCCAGCCTGAGTGACAATGTGAGACCCTATCTCTTAAGAAAATAAAAGAGGAAAAAGAAGAGGAAGAAGAAGAAGGAGGAGGAAGAGGAGAGGAAGAGGAAGAAGAAAGGAAGCAGAAGAAGCAAAAGAAGAGAACAGGGAGGTAGAGGGGAAAGGAGAAGGAAAAGGAGAAAAAAAGGAAGAAGATAGAGGAGGAGGAGGAGGAAGAACAAAGAAGAAGAAAGAGGAGAAAAAGAAGGAGAAGAAAAGGAAGAGTCAAGCAGAAGGAAGGCAGGTAGGAGGAGAAGTTCAGCTACCCCATAAAATATATTAATAACTAACTTTCTAATATATATAATACTACTTTGATATTTGAGCATTTATGAGATATTCTTTAGTTTTATATCCTATTTAGCCTTCCTCTGAAGTTACCCTTAATGCTTATATAGCAAATATATGTGTTCATTATATTCTAGTATGAAGATTTTTTGGTAATTCTAAACTTAGTACTCCATTTTAGTATTAGGCATGTACCAAATGGCTTAGCTATAGATGACCATAATTATCACTGCTGTCAACACTTGTAGCATTTCAGCAAAAAGTTAACAGTAAGTTGAACAAAATTTAGCATCATCGCTATTTTGGAACTTTGTCAACAGCCTCATTATTTATGAACTGTCAATCACCATTTCATATGTTTACAGAATTTACAATGCTAGTAAATGTGATAATATTCTGAATATATGGAAATATCTCACTTGAATTTTTTATGGAAGAAATAATAATTTGCAATCAGAAAGAAGTTATATGTAATTTCTAGAATAATTAATTTAGTTCTCATACATAATTGCATAGATTTGCTTTTTTGTAAATCATCAGCTGTCAGATTCTAACTTATAAAACAAGTGAATATAAGTAAATTTACTCCAATTTAATTTATTTAAAAATTAAAAGCTTAATATTAAATTTGGTAGATGAAAGTGAGTATAGTAAATACATTAATGAAGGTGTAAACCTTTTGTAAGTTATTATTCTTTTTTTACATTAAAATTATGACTGCCTAACACTTAAAGGTTTGAAGTTGTCATTTATTATCTTATTTGTCTAAGTCACTATGCATGATGCATCATGATTGCATTTACCCTAATTTAATGTAAAAATAAATCCAAAAAATATATAGGTTGGTGCAAAAGTAATTGCATTAATCACATTACTTTAAAAAATGCAATTATTTACACTAACTGAATATTTATTTATTTATTTAACTTATTTATTTATATTTACTTTAGTCTTCAGTAGTTCTGCTACTTAACCTGTCTTGTCCTCCTATCCTTACCTTTTTATGGAAGGCATTTAAGTAGGTGACCTCTTTATCTTTTTGGAATTCTAACAAATATGCTATAATTTGAATTTAGGTCATATGTCCAGGTACTTTCTTTTTCTAACTTTCATTTTAAGTCAGGGGTAGAAGTGATAGCTTGTTTACACAGGTAAACTTGTGTCACAGGGGTTTGTTGTACAGATTATTTCATCACCCAGGTATTAAGCCTAGTGCCCATTAGTTACCTTAACTAATCCTCTTTCACCTCCCAGCTTCCACCCTCTGAAAGGCCCCAGTGTGTGTTGTGGCATTATATGTGTCCATGTATTATGATCGTTAGGGTCCCTTATCTGTACGGTTACATGGAAATTTGATGACAGGAAATCAGATACATTAATATCAATACTCAGCTGTATAAGTGAGTATCAGGCAATCAGGATGAAAACGGTTCAACAGAAACCAAACTGATTCAACATTTATGATTTAATAACTCCAAATCTCACAGCTTTACATTTGTGTTCCAGTCCTGGGGGAAAATATGATAAACTGTATCAGTTGGCATTTTATCATACAGAGTCATGTTATTTATGGCCAAAAACAAATGATCTTTATTTTAAGTGCAGTTATATTGCACATATAATTTTTCAGTAATTTTCTGGGTTGTCTGTCTCCTAATTAGAATGTTCACTTACCCTTTCTCCTAATATATAAATATTTTAAATGCAACTAAAAATTAACAGTTCTTATTTTATTACCAGTGAATGAGTTTTCTATAGGAATAAATCCCCAGCCTTTATCATGAAATGGTAATGCATTTCGTTATGGAGTATGGCCTTTTCTTCCTCTATTCAAGCACCACCAACAACCCCCTCCCTGATTCTTTGGACACCACGCCCAACCACACTCAGTGACTTCACCATTTATCTGAGAGAATATGGTTTAGCATGAATCCTGCTTTGTGGGGGCTGGAGTGAGGGATGTGCAGTTTTCTTTACCCATATTATGCTCTTTCTATTTGTCCACTTGACAATCTTGTATTCATTCTTCAACTCTCAAGCCACATACCACTGCTTCAATGTGCAGCCTTCACTTATTGCCCCAGAGGACTTGGTGCTTCTTCCTCTGAGATCTGAAAGCAATTTTAATGCAGTTTTACTGTAATAGTAATGTGTTATATAGAAAAAAAGGCCTGCTTAATTGCCTCATATTGTGTATTGCTCATTTTATTTCTGAGACTTATAATAAATAATTATTCAAACACTTATCCAATCCTAGGTCACCCAAAATCAAAGCTTTTATAACTCATAGTGTAGCCAACAGCACCTATGAGTGGATCTACCATGGAGTCCCTATGGTGGGGAGCTTCCTTTGTTTGCATATCAACTTGATAACATTGCTCACATTAGGGCTAAGGAAGAAGCTGTTAGACTGGACTCAAAATCAATGTCAAACACAGATTT